CAAGATATAACTATAGCAAATTCCTTCCATCCCCAAATTTATATTTACTATCTGAGTTTTTTTTATGAATAGTTATTAAAAAATGCATATCTATTATAACTATTGAACCAATCCACATGTTATAATAGATTAATTTTATCCATCATATATAAAGTTATTTATGTTCTAGTGCATGTTTTACATTTAAGCGTGTTTAGTATAATAATCACAAAATATTATAAATTTTCTTTGAAATTAAAATGTAAATCTAAGTCTCGATTAGAAATGAGAAAGTGAAACATCCTGTAAGGACGAAAGATTTATAAATATATTATGTTAAGGTTTTGGATTAAAAACTATGTATATGCTTTTAGAATTGGATTCAGGTTTGATTATTGTTGTCTCTCTGCAACCAATTTCCTTTTTTATAAACCCAACATTCTTTTCTAAGTTCATGCATGTGGATGTCCAATCTTAGTTTATGAAGATCGTGTTTCTTTTTTTATTTGTTCATCATCAAACCAGAATCAAACCTTATTGATTTAAGAGGCTTTCATTTAGTTTTTATCAACTTGTGTCCAAAGGTGTAAGCGCCATGATTTTAATAGCTATGAACTCGGGTTAAACCTTGTGTTTGATAAAAGGTCTAAGAGATACGATCCTCTGTTCGTTGCAAATTGATGTCCAACCTTCGATATGATTTGTTATCAGTACAAGTTCAAAGATGTAAAATATGTGGATTTGATCGTTACCTAGTTCAATCTTGACAATAAGTCATCACGAACTCGCAAATATTTAATGGGTTAACTTTGAGTAGCTGAAAAGAACTCTACAGAGTAAAACTTGCTTGGTGAGAATTCTGTGCTCTTGATTCATCCTCTAGAGAAAATGACATGAAAAGAAGGTGATATTACACAAACTAAGTATTATATATACTAGTTAAACCACTAAATGCCATTTCAGAACTCTCTTCCTCATCAAATATGTTGAGAAGAGACTGAAAGATAGATATCAAGTGAAGCAGAAAAAGTGAGAGAGAGGATAATTGACATCATATTCATATGTATCCTCGAAATGGTGACACTCATTCGTTGCATATACCGAGTCTGGTAATTGCCTTTCTACACTGAATCCATCTTTTGGTAATGGTAATTCGTTAATCCTTTGTTGGGAAAAAGGCCAAGAAGAGAAATCAAGCTGAGATGCATCTGGTGTGATACCCATCACACAATTGATCATATTCATATCCAGTCCATACATATTATCAGAGACCTGGTTCTGAACCACAAACAAAGACTTATCACCTTCACCACTAAAAGCAGAGGTTTCTTCCATGACCATGATGTTATTCATGGTACTACCATTTGGAGTAATTGCACCTTGCAAAGATGGACTTACACCAGAGGGCTGGTTTTGAACTTGAGTTTGATTTGACATGGCTTTACGATGAAGAAGATTTCTGAGTTTTAGAGAAATAGGAGAATTTGTAGCAATGGTGGTACAGGGCTGAGTAGAGAAATTGGTGCGAGTGTTTGAACCTCTAAGGAGACATGCAGCTTCATCATAAGCTCGAGCAGCTTCCTCAGCAGTTTGGTAAGTACCAAGCCACATCCTGATCTTCTTTGACGTGTCTTTGATCTCTGCAGCCCATTTCCCTGAAGCCCTTTGTCTCACTCCAACAAACTTGTTCTTGTTCTTCATCTTCACTTTCGTCCTTTGCTTTTGATCTTCCATACCCGTCAATGCAAGTGCAATACATAACAAAAACAAGTATATATATATATATAGTACATACATGTGAAGCTTGAAAAATGTCATTGAGTTGCTTTGAGTAGTGGAAAGCTCGTATTTTGTTTGTTGTGGGGATTGTATTTGGCTTGTAGTTGTAGTAGTGGTTGTCCTCACTTATGATCACCCTGGCTTGGATTGGTCAACCGAATTGAGACAAAGCCTAATTCGTGATGACCACTTACATAAGATGTTGTAAATTTTAATGTTGTTCCTGTGCATTTCTGCAAAATGCACGGGGCCATGTGGCTTTATTTTATGGAAACAAGAAGGAAAAAAATAATAATTGTACGTTTTTTCCACCTTGAAATCACACCACTTACATTTCATGGTCGTAGAATGTGACATATGACCTATTTCAGAGCCAACCACAATGTCTTAACTTTTGTTTTTGTCTCCTAGCATGTGTGTGTATGTATGTCGTTTCTCACCTAACTTGTTAAAATGCATTCTCCTTACCTTAACCATGTGTTTCATTTGTTCAAGCGCAGTATATTTGGTGATAAAAACAGTTCCACTAATGAACATCTGAAGTGGAAAATCCATGACACCATGTCTCAGTCTTGAACAATGGGGTTTTGTGTATATGATGTTGTCTTTTTCCAGCCAATTGCCCATCACATAAATGCGACATATATTCATTGTCTCATTGTTGGTTGACTTATCTATGGAAATGTGTGTTGAAACTTGTTTTCATCAGAATTTTGATTCTTCTTATTAATGGGTGTTGAATTGGACAGGAATTGCCACTTCCGTTGCTAATGCCGATCAAACCCACAAGCCATTAACCAAGTTGAACGGAAATATTTAGAAAAACGTCATACAAAGTCAAATGTAAGTATTTAAATAAATAATCACATTTAAAAATGTAAATTAAACATTTAAGATTTGTCTTATTTTATGATTATCTTATCTTTGAGTCAAATGAAGTTAAATATTGTACCACTACTCATAATATTATCAACTAATTACTTTAACTATCCATACTTACCAATAAATATGACACATTCTCATTGGAATAAATACTTTTAATCTCATGTTCTCTTCTATATTCATATTTTTCTATGTTTTTATTAAATTAAGCTTTCGAGAATATTCTGTAAGTATATCTTACTTCAGTTTTATTCATATATCAATAAACCAATCTCTACCTTGAACGACTCACTCTTTTTTGACAAAAAAAATTCAAAAATATATTTTTTTTACTTACAAATATATTATATATAAATTTTATCTACGAATAAATTATTTGCAAATCTTATTTACGAATTAAAACTATAAATTAATTCATAGATAATTTTCTACTGACCAAATACTAATAAATCAGATATCACAGATAAATTATCTAAGACGTGTGTGCTGTAGGAATAAAGGACGAGAGAAAGAACAGATTTTGGCTTCTATATGGAGATTATAGATGTATGCGGCTAACTGGCAGTAGCACGAGGTAAGTTACGGCAGAGGCAATGAGGGAAGTTATCGCAGAGGCAATGTGGTAGGTCCGTGCTGCTGTTGCTGCTTTATGTGATGAACTTTTGGTGTTCACAGAATATTCATGGCAGAGAAGAATTTGTTTATTTACTCATTATTACTTGATTTATTTTTAATTTTCGTATTTAAGTTATGAACTAACAAAATAAAACATCATTTGCAGTAAGACATTGTTGTGAACAAAATCAACTTCTTGTAAAAGTTCATTCTATTAAGGAAAGTACGAAATTATAATATACACAGCCATACCTACACTATTTTTTTTTTCATAAATGAGTAAAAAGGTATTTTTTTAAAAGTCGAAAACATCTTATCAATTTTACACTGTTTCATATACATACAACAATCCCAATCAATCGATGTATCTTTGACTTAAAAGAATCTTATTCGTACTTCAGAAATTGTAGGATCAATGCTTCCTATAATTCCCTTTTAAATGGCCATCTGCAATAGTGATGCTTATGCCTTACGATTATCGAGGCATGAACTTTTCCCCTCAATGATTGCATATATCAATGGCTATCATCACGGGTTACTGCTTTATAACTGTACCTATAAAGACATTGAATAAAAATTAATAACTTAATAATTAAATTGGTATTAATAAAAGAATAATGTAATTTATAAGATAATATTAAAAATATATAATATAGCTTTTTAACTTAAAGAGTAAGAAAATTATTTAATAAATCTTAAAAAAAATACGTATAAAAGTTCAAAACAAAAATATCATCAAACTTAAATTTAAATGAAATACAGTCATGTCTATTAATAATATAATTAAAAATTAAAAATTAAAAATCAAAACAATATTAATATATTATAAAGTTAAAAAACCGTATATTAAAATAATTTGTAGATTAATATAAGCAAATATTATGTTTCTTAGATAAATTAATGACCATGGATAGCATAACTTCCACCTATTTATATTTTTCTTTAAACATATAAACTACTTCTAAAATACCAAATCGCGCCAATTTTAAGCATTGATAATTTTTATCAGTTTGAGCAGTTGATATCTAATTTTAAGGGTCAATTGGTTCAAATTTAATAAACAAACAGATAAAACGCGGTCAGTCCAAATTGGAAAAGCATGACTTTGGAGTGAAAAGGACCTATCCACACTTTCCACTCAAGACAATAATTTTACAAAAAGCAGCTACACCTCTTGAGAGACCCAGCTTAGTCCAAATCATATTCTTCAGCCTCAGCTTAATTGTGAACAAATGATGGATTTGAAAAACAAGTTTTGCAACCTTAATGGATAAATAGCATTAAAATTTCATATGGTACACTTAATACTGTCTGATATTGAAATAAAACAAATACAATAATAGGCCAAAACTGCAAGAATTGCCCCAAAGACAACCCTATATTCTCACGCGATATGGTAAGAAAAAACAATAAGAGGAATAGAACGAGAAGCTCCCACACCACAATTGCCTAACATGCTCTTTTGGACTCAATCGGACTATTAACACTCATAATATACACATTCTACAGGAAGTTCCCTTTCCAATCACAATTGACTCTGCATTCTCAAAACTGAAGCCACCATGTTGCTGCTATAAAACACCATGCAAGAATGAATGATGGAAACCATCTTATGGCAAAAAGAATGAGTAACAAATAGAGACCACCAAACTGGAAAAAGCTTGTTCCCAAGAAGAGCAATACACCAAATGCCAAGCCAGGATGCTATGAAGAAATGATGGATTGTAAAGGCAGTGAAAACTATGAAGAAAGGATGGATTGCAATGCAATCTGTTGCTGTGGCTGCAAAGATGACCATGTAGAAGCAAAAGTAGAGGGTGGTAAAGTTTGCTGGAGCTGTCTCAGTAAATTAACCATACGGCCAGCTGTTTGTTCTGTCGCAAGGTCCTTACCAGCACATAAAACCTGTCGCAAAGGGCATTAAATACAAAAGCAATACCAAATAAATATAATATAAAGCATACACATTATCCAAAAAAAAACATTCGCTACATGTGCCCCTTGATTACTGGAACAGAAGAATGACCGTTGCATAAACACTACGGTATTGGTGGGATTAATGCATGAAGCGAAAATGTCAGCTATGTATACATGGCATTGTAAGTATGAAAAGGGCACTGGCTCCTCAAACGAAAGAACACTACTGAAATGATTTCATGACATCAACTAAAATAATGAATGTCTTATAAAGTATGGTACGTTCTTAGTTGACAAGCTAGAGAAGTGATCACATTCTCCTTATGACTTGATTTATATACAAGTCCTTTCACAAAAAACAAAAAGGTCTACTCATTCCTACCAGTAAAAAACAGTTAAAAACCCTCAAGTTCAGGAAAGCAAATGAAATTTGGAGTGGCAAGAAAAAATTAACCTCCGCGAACACTCCAACTATTTTTGGAAGGTATTGATTGTTTGGGCCCAGCAGCTCCCTGTCCGACCTGCAAATAAACACGACAATTAGAACACCAGAAAAATAAGCATGAGCAAACCAGAAAATTGAAAAGAGGAATTATGGCCCAACCTCTCCGCCATTAAACAAAGTTGATCGTGAACAACTTTGGCCTCAATCAAATCACCTTTTATTGGCAAACAGTTTAGCCATGCGGGGACTACCTGCAAAAATAACAGAAAATTAGCAAAATTATAATTTCAACCAAAAAAAATAAAGTCAGGCTCAGGATTGCTTGTAATAATGATAGACATAATCAGGAACCAAAACCCTAGAAACGGGTTATAAACTACAAGAACAATTAATGACCTGGGCAGAATCAATACTGTCCCGATGAAATTGGCAAATTTTTCCCAGAGCAGATACAGCATTGTCATATGCCATTACATTATCTGCATGAAGAGCATTAGGATGCTGGATCACAGTATTTAACCTCGAAAGAGCCTCTGCAATAAAACACTTACTCGTTACTGCATGAAATAGAGCATTTTACAAGTTTATTAATGTATATCAACCGTACCTCCAACCAGTGGTTTGAACACAGATCCACCAAACTCTGCACAAACACCAAGGCCATAGACAGCAGCCTGCGAAAATGCAAGGAAATACCAATATCAACAATCAAACAGCTTATACAATAAAAATGGTTTTAAAATGCTAACCAACAGAGAGGGCCTAATCCTAACCTGTCTGACATCAGGAGTCTCATCATTGCAGGCTTCCAACAGGAATGGGAGATATGTATCATAATACCTGGTCAATTGGCATGTAAAAATGGTTAATAACACGTCTTCATAATTATCACTGCACGCTAAAAAGGAAACCTAGTACAACAAATGGATTCTACTTGATAGCAGCTTCACGACACTGCTCTGCAACATCATCAAAAATACAAATTGCAATCCTTCTCTCTTCAGGAGTCTTGTCCCTTCCCTGTTTCCGAAATATTAAACAAAAATTAAAAACCATGACATACATGTCTTATTTCTTGAAAATCATGCTTGAAATTAATAAGATGGCACCAAAAGCCTTTAAGAAATCTACTTGGGATGATAGAATAAACCATTCAAATAACAGAATGTGGCTAAACCTTAGAGCTTAATCATGGTAGACTATCATTTCATGAAAGAAAAACAAGAGTATTATGCAAGCTAGCTTGCACTGGAGAACGAAAATAAACATGAGCTTTATAAGGTTAAGTGTAAATAATAGAGAACAAAGACAAAGAGATCTCATATTATAAACGTATAGGATTGAATTATGTGCTCCACAAGTATATCTCTAGATCTATACCTGGAGTTGCACTCAATCACCACTCAATTCAAAATCTCAGAAAAATTGATGATTCGTTTGTAAACAAAACTTTAGGGTGATCATCTCACTCTTTCCTTTATGAAGTAAAGATTTATTGATATTATAAATGCTTGAATATGGCATAAGGAATGCATTTTACAAGATTACCAAGTACAGAAGCATATTGACAAACAAGCTGTCAATCTGTTCAAATGGCCAAGTTCAAAAATTAGCAGCATGTACATCTTCAAAATCAATTACATAATTCACACCAAAAGAAAATACAGAAGATAAGGCCAGAAGCTGAATGAATGAATGGAAATAGAAAATGTATAAAATAGAATTACTAGCTTCCTCAAAAACATACCCACATAGGTGTCAAATATGACGACAGTTCATCAAAGAAAGGTAAGAAGGAGGCTTTGAAGGTTTTGATCAAAGTTCCCAATATCTCACCCACCTGCAACAATGTAATGTATACGTAAATTAGAAGACCACGAACTGAACTGTAAAAACTTAAAAACACAGATGGCAACAATCTAGTAGTTATGATATCTTCAACTATTTCAGATTAGATTAAAAAAACTAACTTGGTCAAAAACTTCTTCCTCTTGTTCATTTTCCTCTTTAATAAGTTCTCCCTCTTCGGCATCAAAATCTTCAGCTTGGGTCCTCTCAGCCCTCTCCCGTTTTCTGCTTGAACTAGCTGTGATCACCTGCTTAATCTCGTCAACAACAGATTTGACCTGGCTTTCGTCCAAAAGCATCCCAGAGATCTAAAGGAGGAAACAGAAACTTTGAAACACATCCAAAGCAGATTTATAATGCACTATAGGAAAGGAGGGGGAAAAACAAAAAAGACAAAAGAAATGGATCAATAATTACCCAAACATCTGACAAAACAACTCGTAATATTCATGCACACTACTTAACAAAAAGTAATGCACGTGAAATGGAAGAAAATAAACAACAATCTAGCCTTCTCTCACACGACATGGTTTACTTGAATTTAATGACACCAAAATATTCTAATACAGTGAATCGTGTTTATAGAAAAACCACAGACCTCAATATTGCTTAATAGTTTCACCAATAAAATATTCAGTCTCACTCTACCTCTAGACAGAATGTTAACCTAGATGAGCTCCCCTTAATAGGGCCTCCTAGTGAGATTGAACAAAAGCCAAAAATGCAGTGGTTGAAAAAGATTCCATTAGAAAATGAACTTTAAACCTAACTCAACCTCACAAGCTTATGAAGTGAAGTTTGCATCGTACTCATTATGATTTTGCTTTATTTCTAGTCAATTTGGAATTTCCAACAGATTCAATCAACATAATAGGAATTAAATTACCTGATAAAAAAACTCTTTAAATAGTTATTTATAATGGGATACTAGAAAAGGCTGAGCAGAAATAAAAGGAGGCAAACTTCACATAGAAGCCAAATTTCATATGGAACAAATATTACAAATCTACAACTATATTGACTAAAATATGAAGTGCACCTATCATGAAACATTTATGAAACAGGCAGTTGTAAGTGCAAAATAAAAAGATTGTAACCAAGTCAACTACCAATTTAAACCCCCCTACAAACCAAACATCAACAAGGAAGTAACCAAACTATAAAATTTAGTTTTTATTTGCCAATTGACAACAAAACCTAGAAGGGGTTGCATTGGTTAGAAGAATAAATCATAGCAGTTCCATTGAGGTTCTTCATAGACTTCTATTTTTAAATAATAATAATGATAAACATCAAACTTTAATTATAAGTAATAACATCAACTTCGCTAAGATATATTCAATAGTCATGGCCTTGTACAATACATAGAAATTCCTTCAAAAAAGGCAAGGGCATTATATATATATATATATATATA